CACCTTTTGGCAAAATACTCTCGGATATTTTTAACAACTATGTCTTAAAATAATTCCATTTCCACGGGCAAAGAAAATGATTTGTTTTGAGTCTGAACACAGCTCTGGAAGAACTCTGAATTTCCTCTGAATGTGCTGAGGATGCCTGCCTCCAGTCATAAGAACAAAGAAAGCGTGGTCACAAAGAGGTGGGCAGCTATTAAATTAGGTAGCAATTAGGACTGGTACAAGAACTCAGAAAGCCAGAAATACATCAAATACTAGTGGATTTACACACCACCTTTTCTTACCTCCCTACATATCTGCTACCACATGCTGCTGGGACTCTGGCCCTGCCAGCTTCACTCTGCCCTGGAAATCACACTGTACTCTTGCTGTAACAGTCACTGACAGATCCCATTATAAGAGCATATATGCCACTTAATCAAACAGCTTCATCGTACTTTATAATGTACTGTATTCACTTTGGGGAACATTATGTGAATACCGATTGGCAAAATTTGGACCATATTCTTATTCTTACTAATTGCAATTTATTTCAGAAATAGACCCACTGATTTTGCTTTCCCAGCACAGCAATTTTTCTGGTTCTCTCTTCAGTACTTTCACACAGTTATGCCCAACTTAGCTGCTGATCTTCAATATTCAAGGTAATTGGTGGGTAATAAACTTTTAAATGATCTAGCTACTGGGAGTGACTGTCAGCTGACAGGTTTTTTTCCTCTGAAACGGAAAGTCTTTATTTCTGTACCAGGTATTTACCAAAATTACTCTTGCAATCTATTCATCTTTTAAAGCCTGATTCTAATTTTTTCTAGTAATCTGTTTAAGCATCTCACAGAGACAACTTAGCACTGACATCTGACTCTTGCTGTGTCACTTTGCTGCTGCCATTTCTGAATGTCTCACTATACACCTTATTGCTGGCTATTAATTTTTAAGATAGCTTTATGTTCCTTATTAACAACTTATTTCTCAAAAGATAAAAAAGATGCTGTTGCAATCACAGGTTCTGTAGAAATAACATCTGAACATTTGAAAATGAGGACAGAAGCGTGTTTCTGAGGGAATAGATTTCCTTCTCAAATTTTATACACAAACAAGTTTCTCATTTTTTCCCCCTTGTCTATGTTGTTTGGATAACACATATTTCCAATGTATTAAAAATAAACAAATCCCACCAGCTAGAGCCCTACCATGCATTACTCCAGAAGGTGATGGGGGATATTGGTCTGAGTAATTTTCATGCTTTCAAACTTTCTTTTCACCTCTGAAAGGCAGACTAATGTAGGTCACTTTTAATGAGGAGCCTTGTGCATGGCTTTCCCCAGTCACTACACAGCAACCAGGCACTTGTAAGTTCATGTTCTCCCTGCATCATCACCGTATTTTATCATTTTCAGCAGCGTTGACTTTTGCCCACAATGCTGGGCACTTTCATATGATGAAGTCTCTTGGCTGCCTCATTAACTCTGAATCCGTGTGTGCCCTTGCATTTTACTGTATAATTTCCTCCAGCATTCATTATGCTGTAGTTTAAACAGCCTCTGGCTAGAAACTTCTTAAAACATCGTGATGAAATTACTTTGACAACATACAAGTCAATTACAATGTAATTAAAAGATACACTAATCCATTACCTTGTTTGGTAATGGTATCTATGAAATCTTCTGCTATAAACTGTAAGCTACTGTCCACAGCATCTGTTTTTCTCTGAAAAATTCACAGGAATTATACCTGTTCTCTTCCAGCAAACATGAGGAATTAAAGGGGTACAAGCTGTTTTGAATCTAGGGTCTCTAATCCTCAGTGCTTGACTCCCCAGGCACTTCAGTGAAGGTTTTTGTCATTGGGCTGGGAGGATTTGGAAGAAACCTGGCACCTGGAAGGTGTATGCTCTCACCGGGCTGCCCTCCATCACATCGGCCTCCTGATTTTCAGCACGAGTCTCTTGCATATCCCTCTGCAAGGAAAGAGTTATGTTCCCTTGTCTTCACTCTGCTCCCCACTTTAACCCTATACCCTTTCTGTCCCGTTTTCCCCTTTGCTGCAATGTCTGTCTCCATGACCTCCACATACACCAGACAGGCCCTTCTGTCCTTCCCCACCACTTGGCAAATGAGTAAAGACCTGAAGGCAGCAAACCCAAGCAACTCCCCTGCCTCTTTGACAGCCATGCTCACAAAATGAGTTCCTGTATTTATACCTTTAAATATAGGGGCTCAATGGTTCCCTTAATCCCTCACTTCAGCCCACTCTTAAACCCTCCTGCTCCCCTCTGCCCTGCGGCACTCCTCCTCACCCTCCTGTGCCCTGGGGTTTTGTGGAAGAGGGACAAGGACCTGCCAGGAAGCAGAAGGGGACAGGCTAGGAGACACCTGCTAGGACAGAGAATAGGGCTGAAGGCCAGGGGACTGCAGAGGGTGCAGACCTTCAGGGACAGCAGCAGCAGCCTGAGGAAGCCACTCCAGTGAGAATCACAGCCCATTGGGTTGCTGGTGCATCAGGAGGAAACAAATACTCATCAGGTTGACATTACACAGCCTGCCCAATGCTCTGCAAGACAGCAGCACTAACAGGTCTCAGCAGCCCTGTGCTACTCCTCATACTTGCAATGCAACACGCTGCCCAGAGTGGTACGTTGATTGCTAGAAGTAAATAAAGCTCATGCAACTGGGTAATGAACAATGTTTAAGTAAGTGAAGTGCCCTGTATTCTTGATCACTTTAAAATATTTTCATTGCTACTACGTAATGTCAACTTATGTTGGTAAAAAAAACATAATCCAAAATTAATCCAACATCTTCATACAAGATGGATTTAAGTGAGATGTCTGCAAGCCAATGTACATCATATATGTTTGTCTAAAATAAACTGTTAGAACAGCCCCTCTGCAGTTTGGATGACGATGGAGAGTTGTAAGAGATACATCCTTTGTCATCACCTTCCTTCTAGGGCCAGCTCCCTTAATTTACTCGAGCTTCGCTTTTTTGTCTTTTAAAACAGAGATAACTTCTGCCCGCAGGGATGCTGTGATGCTAATCCATCTGGTATTTGCTAACACATGCAAAACTTTATTCTAATAAGTGAGATACACAGAAAGCAGGACACCACCAACTGATACTGTCTATATTCTTCCTCACATTGCTACCCAGTTTCATTTTTGGCCGGAAAAATAGGTCAAAACACTAAACAATAGTTGTTTGAGGGAGAAAGGCAACTTTTAACTTATTTTGGTATATATGCCCTTCTTTTTCCAAATCAGCACTCTTAAAATGGACAGGCAGGATAACAGGGGACTCTCCAGAGGTGAGAGTAAAGGCAGCATCTCTTCTCAACCTGTTCCTTAATCAGCAAATGTTCAACACAAGAGGAATAATTCATCTGGCTAGCAATTGATTCTTGCTTGGGAAGCCCCGGGGGAGAATTTTAATCATGGAAAGCTCACCTTCTTCTAAGACATGCTAAAATGGGCGGGTGGTTCCCTCTAAATGTCTTTTGGGCAGATTACAAAGCAAAGCTTGGATGCCCATCTTGTTCTTAGCACACCCTTTCCAGTTCTGGCAGAGCCTCTGGTTGAGGGCATACGCTGCCCCTGCGGCTTCCCCCTGCCACACACAGTAATTACTTTTTCTTCATTAATTGGTCTTAATGCATGCATGCACATCCACAAATCAAGCAACCCGCTGTTTTGGCTTTGAAGTCATGCTCGCCGGGGTTTGTAAAGCCAACAGCCCACTACCACCAGCACCAGCTTCACCTGAGCAGGAGCAGGAGCATCCATGGGGTGTAAGCAAATTTGGGGGGGGATCAGCTTTCCCCAACAAGTTGCAGGGGTTGTGTGTGCTGACGGCAAACCAAGGCAGCTGGGGCGGTTAGCTGGTGCTTCTGGAAATGAACACACCAGCACAAACAACATGCTGATGGAGATATATTAATGCTGTACCCATGTCAATGAAACATTACCATCAATTTAAGCAGGCAGTATGGCTGATTTATAAGCCAATATATAACCAAACATAGCATGGGAGATGTTTGGAAAAACAAGTATGTGACACAGGCATGATAAATAGAAAATCTTTAGTAAGGGATGATTTCTGCAACCTCTCTCTCCCAGGACAGTGATATTTTAACATCTTCATCCAAACAGGAACACAGATAAACAGGCTGTAAACTTGTCTCATTACTCTGTGGTTTGTGCTTTGGCAGAAATGACCGATGATTTTTGTAGTTGAGTGAAATGTTTTAACTTATATTCTGACTAGGGTCTGCTAGGGGAAAGCAGTCACCATACTAGTTACTTCAGAGGGGCTAATCAGAGGGATAAATGTGGTATGTAATAAAACCAGCTGTCTGAGAAACCCAATCTGACTGCTTGGGATTCTTGCAGGAAACAATTCAGCAAACTATCTGGTAATGATAAACAAAGTAAGAAAAAAAGAGTGTGTGTGGGGGGGAAATCTTCATGCCTAATGTGTCACCTAAGGCTGATGAACTCTAGCGCAAAACCTGAAGAAAATCAAGTGCTAACCTGTAAACAGTTCAACCAGGCAAAAGTAAGTATGCAGTTGGCATTTACATTAAAAGCTCTAGTCTGCACATATCAGTCTCCTCATTCCATTTAAAAAGAACATTTTTTTTCACCAAAAATGGCCCCAGCCTTATCTACCTAATACAGCAGTGGTTTTATATACTGTGCTACAGACTCAATTTGGACACTTAAAGCTCTTGGCTCATTAAGATCGTGAAGTCAAACTAGTCAGAGATAAAATAAATGAAGTTTGGCAAAATCACTTTTAATGCGCTCTGTGTTTTTCCAATATTCACTACAAATGCCCATTATGGATTACTGTGCTGAAACCAGGACAGTTATATTTAAAAAGTCAGTATTTATGAACTTAGGAGCTTAAGGTAGCCCACCTATGTCTATCTTCAGCCAGGGCTGACAGTCACAATCCTCTCTGCACAGTAAACACGCAGTGGTACCATCAGCCTCCTACCTTGGCTCCATCCACACTGATAATCCGATAGCTGTTTCTCGTGCTGTCATAGAAGTAGGAAACAGTTACAGCCTGCTTGCTTGCAGGAACCCAGTTCTTCTTCGTGCTGGGGTCAATTTGGAAGACATGGGCTCTGGTGGTGAAGATGGGCTGTTCTCTGGAATAGGGAGGAACAGGAGAAATGGATGCATGAGTCTGCAGAAGATGAAATGTCCCAGAAGCCCAACCTTGACCAGGCACATTGAAAGCACAAGACAGAGAGCACCTGGCAATCCCCCAAGTTGAAAAGGCAGAGCAGTGACACTGCTGAGCCATGACCCAGCCATGGGCATCTCTCCTTGGCATCACTAAGTGACACTCAGGGCCTTAAAGTTACTGCTGTAGCCCAGGAGGCAATCGGCTGTTTTCTCCGCATGTTATGCTGACTCGGTATCCACCTTTTCCTCCAAATATTTATTTCCAGGAAAGGACACTCAGATGCATTCTTTCTTTCCCCATCCACATATTTTGCCAAAAACAACAACAAGCCCCTCTTGGCTGGGTTTCCTCCTGCCGTGCATTCCTGTGAACCACTACCTACAGCCAGGGTTCCTCTGTGGATGCACCAAGGACTCCAGTGACCTACAGGCACAGTATAATTACTGAAATATTAATCTCTCTCCTTAGTATCCCACTGTTCCGTGGATGCACATGAAAATTTCATCAGAGGCAAAAGCAGTCAATCATCCTGAGAGCGAGGGAGGAAAGAAATACAAGCAAAACCCTGTGTTGATATATATTGCCTTTCAGTTCAACTCAGTGGATGATGTACTGCCACTGCCACTCTGTTCCTAAACACCAGCCCTCCTTGGATGCTTTTTCTCATCAAGAAAATTGTGCACACAGTGGAGGGGTTTTGTTTTACCTTCAATGTGTGACAAAGCAAATCTCACATCACAGCAGAGAAGACGCAGGACCGAAAGAACAAAACATGATACACATAAAATCTTCTAGGTTGAAGATCAGAATTAAGACTTACTTAAAGGCCATAAAACTAAATTCATTTCCACCTATACCTTTAATCTAAATTTAGCAGAAGAAGTGAACTGCAAATCAAGCTCTACTGTGCTTTTATATACATTTTTATGGTTTTAGTTCTTAAAAGCTGCAGTATATAATGGCCCACATTAAGTGTACCGCTCAGTATATTCTTACCACATGTGAAATACTGTATCATGAATAGTTACTCCTGCCAGAATTATAAGAGGATTCAAACCCAACTGTACTACAATAGAGTTACCACCCAAAAATGTTTACCGCATGGAAACTGAAAAGGCTGCCAGGCTGAACTTTGCACAAAGCAAATGAAAAGAGGTAGGTGAAAGGCCAGAGAGATCTCTTGCTCTCATATGCTATTCGTTCCTATTCATATAAATAATTATCCTCTATTATTCTCAGTCCCATAGCTTTGGAACTATGTTTTTATTAAGATTTCTTCAGCTCCTTGTATATCCACCTGTGCATCTGCAGAACAGAACAGCTTCAGGTACTGGATCAAACATCAAGGGGAGTAAATCTATGAATATCAAATAGATGAAGCAATTTAAGAGTACAATTAGCTCAGGAAAGATGGAGTGAACTTGCAAAGCCCAGCAAGTCCTCAGGAGGGAGAAAACGAAGCAAGGGTTTCCTCCTTGGGGTTTCCTCCTTGCAAGACATATGCAAAGTTTTACATCTTTCCGGGGACTGCCATGGAAGTTTCTGGATGGACAGCAGTGCCGACCCCTGTGCAATACTGCAATGAAATAAACTGAAATTACAATGGGACTGTCGTGTTCCAGCTGTGAAAGAGCAGCAGTTGCTTCTGCTCTTCCTTATTAGTAACTCACTGAACCTGACTCTCATTTCACACGCTAAAATCGATGCTGTCCTCAGCTGGGAGGAAAGAAGGAGCAGGTCTCCATAACATTTAAGAAACATTTTCATCACCCATTACGCAGGACTAGCAGCGTAACACCCACGAAGGTCACAGAGTTTGTTTGCAACAAGGAATGCAGGGAAGGGCACTTTCCCCCAAGCCACTTACTCTTCTACTCTAAAAATACGTACTTTCCCTGAGTGAAGAAAAATCTTGAATTTATTTTGCCGTTTACTTAATTCTGTATGTTTAGTAGATTCTACTAATAGTTTCTGCTAATGGTAATACAACCTATATATTGCAGTCTCAGAAGTTTCTCAGTTTGATAAGTTTCCTCCATGCAAACCTATTCCACAAACAACTTGAACTCTGTTAACTCATCTTAACAATAACAGAAAACACTGATGAAACTATGCCTGGCTCTCTGCATATAAAGCATATAAATTTACATAGTTTATATGCTTACATATGCAAGTATATAAACTGAATCTGGAGATAAGAGTAGAATGAAGGGAAAAACTATCTTCATTTTTTCAGGAGTCTTGCAGCAGCTACTGTTGCCAACAGGAGCCATGTACACGCATCCAATTGGATAAATTAATGGATAATGAAGCTCAGGGCTTGAGATAGCCATCTATCTATTCATGTGGGGCTTTTATTAAAAAGTAAAGCCAAAACAAACTTTCTTTCTAATCTTCATGATTATTAAACAAAAAAAAGAGTGAATTTTGTCTTCCTGGGTGCAAACAGCAGCCCTATCACTCACAATGACAGTGTGCTAGTTGATAAATAATTAAAAAAAAGGAAACGTGATGTGTAAACTTAGGCATTTTAATTCATTCTAGATAAATGAGCTGTTGACCTTCCATTGAGACTAAATTTGGAAGAGCCAGTTGGTTGCTCTCCCCATATGCCTTAGACCTTCCTGCCACAGGTGGCTCTACAAGGTAGCAAAGCCCCAGGACTGATTTTTGAGCCCCTGGAGCAGATGAAGTAGCCCCAGGGCACAACCTCCTGGAAGGATTTCCCAGTGTTGTCCCATAATAATTAAGAAATGAAGCTGCATTTCTGCAGCTGTGCCTGCTCTGCTGCCGAATCCACTTGCGGGTCTGCGCTCAGCTGTTACCCCAAAGAGCCCAAACTCATCAGCAGGGTCCATGAGTGGCATCACCAGCACAGGGGAGCCGATGCCACCGTGCTTTCCCTCGCACCACAGCAAGACAGCAAAGACACTGACAAAACCCAGTGGCGCAGCTTTTTACGTTGTGGGCGGTAGAATATCCTCCTTCATTGTACCCCAAACTCCTTTGACCAGTGAAGCACACACAGAGACAACTCTATAACAGTGGCACTCAATTTTCAAATGAAACACTGAGTTCGACACTTCAAAACATTTAATGCAACCTCACAGAACTCCAAATTGAGAAGGATTATTCTGTGTTACTCACATTCAACTTCTGACATTCAAGAAATCACTTCACTGATAGAATAATGACTTTGTTTTCCAGGGTTTCTTTCCTTTTCACTTTCCTTTTTCATTTTATGTTTAAAACCACAACAATGCTAACTCGAAATTCCCACAGCACATGCTGTGTGGTTTGAGCCCCTGTAAGCTGCTTGTTACGTGAGACCGCCAGTTTGCCCGGGGAGGCAGGGAGCAGAGGCGCTGCCAGCCAGGCTACAGACTCATAAATCACAAGACAAAGAGAATTTATGAATGTTTAAAATCTCATTAATTTTAACCCAAGTTGTTAATGATTGATTAAATACTCTTAAAAAAAAAAAAAATCCGTTTAAAAATCAATTTGACAGTTAACATCCACTGTTTAGACTAAAGCTGCTTGAAAGGTAGCAAATGGAGACCTAAATTACAGCTAATAAGTCTGCATTATTAAACGAAGAACAAGACAGAAAATGCACTTTTATAAGCTTTTAAAATTATTATATATCGAGAGATAACCAACTGCATCCACAGCTGTGTGAGCTAGAGTATCACTCTCTGGTTAATATACAACCATGCCAAATCTTACAAGTGTATGACTAGCTGCAAGCCATGTGTTTTATATTACTCTTCATAATCAG